CATGAAACGATTTGTTTCGCCCTGTTCGGAGGTTTCTGGTTCTCCTTTTTTTTTTTCAAAATATTTTTTCCTCGGGTTCCAATTTGTTAGAAAATTGTGTTACCTAGGTTTTTTCTTCCATCGAGTTAAACAGATTTACATTATATATATATATATATATATATATATATATATAGGGTTCGATGGGTAAATCATCGCCATTTTATATTTTTAATTCCGCGCATGCGCGTTGTTTATTTTTTTATTTTGACGATTGCGCAGTATAGTAGAGTCAGCTGGACACCGTCTGTGAGAAAAAGATCACCATGACGCAATTCAGTCGGCCAGAAATTTGGAAACAGCATACTGTACTGCTTGGCATTCGCGCCGGAAGCTCCAATATGAACATTTCACAGTGTTTGGGTGTGAATCTAATGCCAGTGCAAAGTATCTGGAAAGAGTTGGATGAGTCTAATTGTGATTACGAAGGCACGTCAGCTCAGAAACCATACTCTGGTCGTTCTTCCGAATTTGCTGGTGACTCAACACGGAGGCGTACATCAAGTGCCTTGAGGAGGTAGTGCTGCCCTGGGTCAAGAGGGTGGCTGCTGGAAGACCTTATATCTGGCAACAGGTCTCTGTACCATGCCACATAAGCAGGAGAACCCAGTCATGGCTGTCAGGCAATTTCTGCGACCACATCACCCCATTATATCTGGTCACCTAACTCCCTAGACTGCAACCCCCTTTGATAACTATGTGTGGGGTGCAGTTGAAAGAGAGACCAACTAAATTCCTTGTAACTCCAAAGATGAACAATGATTATGGCAGCATTCACCAACTAAAACAAGGAGACTGTCCAGAAGAGTTGCAGGAGATTCGGAAGTCATCTGGAGGCTGTGGTTGAAGCCAATGGTGATTTTATTAAATAAATTTTTTCTTTAGTATTTCAAGATATTTTTGTGCAATTTTGGTAAATATATCTGTTAAAATGAGATATCAGTATTATTTTCATTTTTGCGTCATTTAGACGACAAACTAACGCACTCCTTATATATATATATATATATATATATATATATATATATATATATAGTTAGATAGTTAGATGGATAGATAGATATTGTTATAGCATATTTTGAAATGATTGCATCACGTTTTAAATTGAAACATATTCATAAGATATTTTCAAATTATACGTTCTTATTTTGATATGCGATATAGCCATGGGATATTCTGAAATAATAGCGTCATGTTGTAAAATTAGATATAATTACAAGATATTTCGAAATGATATCGACATATTTCAAAATGCGACATTGTCATATTTGGGAATTATATCTTTATATTTTGGAATGCATTTAGACACAGGATATTTTGAAATAATATCGCCATGTTTTGAAATTAGATATTATTTATACAATAAATGCGAATTTCAATGTGCCACTGTGTCACACTTTTTTCAATTAAGGGGAGACAACTCTCTAAATTTCAATAGCTCATCTTAGAGTACTTGTGGATTCCCAAGTTTTCATCACTACGATTGTTTTTACGTGATTTTTTGCGATTAAGTACGGTAACAATTTTTATAACTTAGAAATAAATCTCGGAATAATCGAAATTAATTGCGAAATCCAGCGAAAGTCACCCATGAAATAAAAATAAGTGTTTGCAAAGAAAGTAAGGACCTACGTACATCAAATTTTATTTAGATTAAGTGGCGGCAGAAGAACTTTCGTTGAACTTTAAAAAGATAAGCATAAATATTGATACAATGCTTAAACGGAGCGATAAATTTTGAGTTCTTCAGTAGTTTATTGTTGCTTATCACATACGGTAGCAGTATGCTTCGCAAAAAGAAATCTTCGCCAATCAAAAGAGACAATACTGCAGCCAAGAAAAGAAAGCCCCGTGCAGATGAAAACCCAGATCAAACGGCAACCTGGAGAGCTTCTAATGCTGAGAATATGCAAAGAGTTAGGGATTCTCAAACCGCTAAACAAGCCGAAGGCCCAAGCAAGATACTTCCGCAGGAGCTATATACCCTAGGGCCCATTTGAGTGCCTCGATGTGGTGTAATGGTCAGCAAGCTTGACTCGCTAGAACAATCTAAGTAGTGAGTTCGATCCTCACTGGGTGCCCCATACTTTCGGCCTTGTGCCACATCTAAGCTACGCTTGGAAAATAAGTAGGGCACCTCGACGTGGTGTAATGGTTAGAAAACTTGTCTTGCTAGATCAATTACGACTAAATAATGAGTTCCTCACTGGGTGCCCCATACTTTCAGTCTTGTACCACATTTAAGCTTTACTTAATGACGACACTAGGGCACACTTTGTTTATTCAGTTTTCATATATATATATATATATATATATATATATATATATATATATATATATAAATAAAAAGAAAGAACAGTAATCCGGTATTCTTATAGATATTTTATTTTTACAAATATATATATATATATATATATATATATATATATATGTTTTAAGGATTTTTACCTGACATTATTTCTTATTACAATAAAAGTTATTTTTACTGGGTACACACGTTTGATTTCCTATCCTTTTTTTTCCTACTGTCATAGGCAACATTTTTATTTACTACGATTTCTCAATTTATGCCGGTTGCCATTAATTTCATTGTTTAATAAAATAAAACAGGGATATCAACTCAAACACGTATACACACTAAAAATTTTCATTTTTTTCATTTATTAATCCATCATATTTTCATTATTTTAAATGTTATTTTTAGTGGATATTTATATTGAGAAATCTAATTAAAGATAAAAATGCACCTTCAGACAGCATTCGAACCTGCGTCCTCTTTTGCCGGTTAACGCAAGTCGGGTATATGATGGTTTCTCCTGCAAAGGAGAAAGCACATCCAAATCCTTAATTACCGGCCCGTACTTGGGAAGCGTATTTATTCTGCCTCGGTAATTTAGACATAGAGCACTTTATATTACTGTGTCTTTCCTTGTTGCATTTTCCCTGTTTTTCCTGATTTTGATTGATTGTTAGTTTCTCTTTCGGTTGACATTCTGCTGGTTTTACCATATATATATATATATATATATATATATATATATATATATATATATATATATATATATATATATATATATATATATATAAAGAAAAAACAGACCACTTTTAAGGTATCATTATAATAATTTATTTCACCAGAGCCCTTTTAAAGAACGCCGGATCATCAGATAGCACTTCCAAAAATGAAACGAAAAATGAAATTAAAATTGATGGGTAGTGTAAGTTTTTGTAATTTAACAGGGAGTGTAAAAGGGGTAGTTAAAGAGACATGGTAGAGTTTAGCGGGGGTTTAATTTCATATCTCTCTCAATCATACTTAGTATTGGGGGAGGAGGAGTGACCAGACCTTGACCTATTTAGACGGTTAACTTAACGGAAGTGATATATTGAAATGTGAGGGGAGAAGTGAGAAAAGAAAAAAAAAAAGGAAAAAGAAAGAAGAAGGAGAGGGAAGTAAAGAGAAAGAGGCTGTAAATGGGTTTTAGCAATTTATGTAAAGAATAGATTTTAATGCTTGATCGTAATTTAGATGTCTAAAAAAAACCGAAGAAATTAATTTGATGCTTGCTAGCAATTTAAATACCCATACGGATTACCAAGTTTTCATAACTTAACTATATATATATATATATATATATATATATATATATATATATATATCATACAGTAGTAATTAAGATTAATGATCATTTTCAACTTGTAAATTGAATGATCATTAATGATCATTTTCAACTTGTAAATTGAATGATCATTAATGATCATTTTCAACTTGTAAATTGAAATAAAATTTGCAAGGATTTTTCAAAACTATTCAATGGATGATCAATTATAAAATCATATATATATATATATATATATATATATATATATATATATATATATATATATATAAACAGCCCAAGCAGGGCAAGAGAGCCACTAATACGCAAATGGATACAGAGAATGAAAGCAAGGGAAGAGACTGCGTATGGGGGGTGAGAAAAACATAAAAATAAGAACGAGAATCAAGGCATCAGAAGATGTCGATTGACATTACGTTTAAGTTTTTGAATGTAATAGTTATCAGGGAAGCATTAAAATGGAAGGGAGTTCCATAGCAGTGAAGTGCGAGAGAAGAAGCTGTTGGAGTAGAAGAGGCGGTTACATTTAACTGTTTCAACAGTGAAAGGGTGGGACCGAGATGCCAACCTAGTAGCACGCTTAAATTCATTCAGTCGGGGGCACCAGTGAAAATAGCTCTTCATGGGCCATGAAAATATTTATAGAAAAGGCAGAGGGATTGATGGAAGCCAGGAAAAAAGAAATTCAATTTATTTAGTGTTTTTTTTAGATATAAAGATTTTGTGGGATGGACAATTATCCCATGTTATTACACGATTTGTACAATTTTGCCGTGACACCCGGTGTATATATATATATATATATATATATATATATATATATATATATATATATATATATGAAGAAATATAGTCTTAATATGTGCTATATTTATAGGGTAAAAGTGCTCAATATCAGAGATAGAGTGTGTAAATATAAAAGTGAACATAGGAAATATTGTTGTCTTCTATGTTCACTTTTATATTTATATATATATATATATATATGTGAGTGTGTGTGTGTGTGTGTGTGTGTGTGCACGTTTCATTAAATAGGACAGACAGGGTGCTTTGACAAGGTGTCGTATTGAATGAAATATACCTGAAAGAAGTATATATATATATATATATATATATATATATATATGATAACATTCACATTGCCAAAATAACGCTTATATATATATGTGTGTGTGTGTGTGTATGTGCACACACACACACACACGCATGCACACACGCACGCACACACACATGCATATATTGGAATTATTTTGGCTACGTGAATGTTATCCTGGTTTGAAATCAAATTGTTCCGGGAAATTCATTAATTTCTGTTGAAAATGAAGTGTTTTTTTCTTTCAGTGATAAGGACTGTACCCTCCGTGAAGTCATGACAGATTCCATTTCATCGAATAGCATCGAATTTGGAGACAGAATTACGAATGTGACGAATCCAGTTCGAATCAAATTTGACAAGTGGAAGGTAAGATGAATTTGTGAATCGATCATTGCAACTCGTTTCATGCAATAAGATAGCACATTTTAGCCATTTACTATTGCAAACTTTTTTTTTTGCCTCCTGATGTTTTATTATTATTATTATTATTATTATTATTATAGATCTTACCGTTTCCTTCAACTCCTATACGCGCAAAATGGCCTTCAAACATAACCCTCTAACTCGAGTGTCCCCGGGCCTTGTAAAGGGTGAACCACGCTGTAAAATGGCCTTCAAACGTAACCAGCGTCTTGGGTAAGACGATAAACTACATCTGGCAACAAGGCCTCTGGTCAGGAAGTTTTGAGAAGCGTGGAACCACCTCTTAATTGCTGGTGTTCTCAGGTCCACCCTAACCCGGAGTGGTAGCACCTGTTAGGGTCCCAGCTATGGGCAAATAATTAACCCCCAAACTGGATTCAAAACACGATGAAAGCATAAAAATATGCATTAATACCCGAAATACTATGTAAAAAAATTATTACCAGCAATACATTTTTGAAAAAAAATATTTCCACCGATACATATTTGAAGGAAAATCATTACCAGAAATAGATTTTTGGAAAAAAAAAATATTACCAGAAATAGATTTTTGAAAAAAATATTACCAACAATAAAAATTTTGTCGGCATTTAATAACCCATTGAGGTTGATATGCCGTAAAACAAAACAAAGCAAACCAAACGTAACCCTCTACCTGAAGTGGCCCCCGGGCCTTGTAAAGAGCGAACTTCGCTGTAAAAAAAAATGTTATTATTATTATTTGAATCTGCTTGTTTGTTTTACGAGCTGCTTGCAATTTTCGACCGGAAACATCAAGAGGCCTCAAGTCAACAGATCATAATTGTTGTTAGACAATTGGTTGGAGATGAAGTTGACATTGTGAGCCTCATTATTCTTAATTGCATGATGGCATTGAAATGTGTTTTGTAGTTTAAACTTTCATTCAGTAGTGGATGCGGATGCAGAGATAAAATTTATGTACAGTTGAAAGGTGTGAAAAGATTAAAGTCGTGTCAGAAAGCTCGCAGCATAACATAAATATGAAAGAGAAAAAAAAACGATGATTGTTTTCCCATGACACCTCTTTTATTTTAACTACTCTTCGGTAATGTGTATTGTTTTAAAAAGCGAATATTAGAATTGTAATAAAACCTAAATATATGATCAAAGTGAATTTTTTGTTCTTGAGAATTGACAACAAAATATGAACAGATCGCGACATTTATCAGTGAGATGAAATTTAAATTTTTATTATTGCATTTATTCCAAAATTTTAACACATCAGCAGATAGCTATTAATGTCAACAAGTGAGTACAAATAGTTATTAATTAAAAAAATAGTAATTAATGTATAATAGTATCCATAATTACATCTACAAGAATGTCGTTTCTGATAAAAGTTAAAAAAATAACCATAAACACATCAAAAATGCGTATATTGTCGAAAAATCCTTTTCCCACTATATAGCTATTTGTGCTGTTATAATACTTATTACCTAAACAATAATAATACTGAATAAATTTTCTTTTAACATAAAGTATATTTAAATACGTCTCCCTAATAGCTGTCGCGATCTGTAAATACTATTTATTTAATAGATTGTTTATTTACAAGAATAATTTTATATTTACAACATTCTAAAAACTAATAATAATAATAATAAAAATACAAGGACCTTGAAATAGAAATCTCGAAAATGTGGCATATGGGAATATCAACAATCCCTGTTGTAGTTGGATCCCTAGGACTGGTTGGAAAAGATTGCAGTAGACTAATTGAAGGGATTCCTGGAAGTCCATGCATCAAGGAGATACAAAAAATTGTTCTGACAAGTACAGCCCACACTTTACGAAGGGCTTTATCTATGTAATATTTTTTTTTTTTTTTTTGTTAGTGGAAAGTGTCATGATGCCATTTCTAACCTTAGGTCCCTGGGCGCGACCCGGAAAGAAATGTGTAAACGCCAGAAATCAAAGAAAAAAAAAATAATAATCCCCTTGACTTTTGTAATTTTTTGGGGATCCGAATGCAGAAGCCACAGTTGAAATTGCTCTCTATGTAACTCAATGGTAACAGTTTCTTCTCTCGCACTTCTCGCTGGGGGAAAATCTTTTCCGGCTTTTTGATTTCCATTCTAATGTGATTTTCTAAAATTGAAATGCAATGTCAATGATTATCTTTTGTTTTCTTAATTCTTGTTCTTTTATTGTTCTCGCTCCTTAATAGTGTTTTTCTCGTATTCTTTTATACTCAGTACGGCCTTGCTTGAAGAAATATATGGATGTGTGTGTGTTCATTCCCTAATCATCAAAATAATGTACAAAGCATATATATATATATATATATATATATATATATATATATATATATATATATATATATATATATATGCACACTACAGTTCAAAGTTTTGAAGCCAGCCATGGTAATTTTTAAATCCTCCCAATAGTTGTTTCTGTACTTTAAATAAAGAGAAAATTATTATACATGGTTAAAAAAGAGACTTGATTTTTTATTTGAAATTTTTGTTATGATTAAAATTAAAAAAAAATATTTTATGATTAAATTTTGCTTTCGTCAAAATATCCTCCTTTAGCCTTGATTACTGCAACACACATTTTTGGCATTCGTTGCAGAACTTTCTCAGTGTAAATTTCATAACTGATACCATTCTTTTTTCAATGACTCTAAGAGCTCTTTTTCATTTTTTTCACTCTTGTGTAACGTTCATACTATAGTGATTCACACTTTTGAACTATATATATATATATATATATATATATATATATATATATCTGCGTATGTGTCTGTGTGTGTGCGTGTGTGTTGAGAGTTTTTACATTTACATAAGTAGCGAAGTAATCGTTCTACGTAACGCGGTTAATCGAAATAAGGGTTGCATAATCTTTTGCGGAAGAAAAACAGGGCAAAACATGAACTTCGAACTTTTTATTCACAATACATATTTCGGAAACACAGTTTTTCAGTAATTGTCCTTGGTAATTTTTAATTAGCAAGCTGAGCAGGAAGAATGTAACCATGTGCTATGTAACCACTCATGGGGTACGGTGTTTGTCTACATCATCTTGTTTGGCAAGTGCAGATTATTGACCATAAAGTGGCTTATCTTGCCTTTTTTTCTGCATTTGGTCATTTGCATTTGCTTTTGTTTTCTTCTTTAGGTTTTTAGCGCTTCAGTATGATTTACTTGCACTTCTTCACCCACTTGAAATTTCATTTTAAATTAGTTGGTTCTTACGGAATAAAGTTCTTTATGTCTCTCATGTTCTTCGACACATATCATCATCCATTCTTCTATAGTTTCCAGATATCTTCGAAAACCGATTATAGTTTAGTAAGACAGTTCTAGTTGAACTAATCCTCTGCCTCCTTCGGATCTGCATATATACAGACGATCAACATCACCTTTGGGATGATGCATGCGATGGCAAGTGCCTTTCCCGTTTTGGTGTCCATTCATTTAATGTCATCTATGGTCCTGTTAAAGATGTTGAAGCTGTATTACACCATGGGGACAGCCAAGATGTTTATAGCTGATATTCTGTTTTGTGAATTCAACTTGGTATTAAATACCAGACGCACACGTCTGTAATGTTCTTACTTTCCCCTTCATTTGGGTATGCTGTATTCCATCTCCTTCACTAATTCCTAGGTACCTATAGGCTTCTTATTCCGGTTCCTTTGTCTTTGTGATCAAATCTAAATCTATTGAGTGTACTTCTGTAATTCTCCTTTTCTTGAATGTTACTGTTGCACATTTATCTAATCTAAAATCCATACCAATGTCATCACTGAAACATTTTACAGTACTGAGGATACCATTCGACTCATTGTAGTCTTTGATATTAAGATTATCCATGTAGAATAAGTAATTAAACACTTTCTTTTTTACTTTATATAGCTACTTGTTACTGTTTAGTTCATGCGAAAGGAGGAATAAACAGAATAGACAGAACTGAAGGGGTGACAGGGAGTCTCCTTGAAAGATTCATTGTCGCATACTCAAACAATTTGAGGCTGATTTAGGTATAATGTGGTTTTCCACAGTTCTATGCTATATTTAAAGAAGTTTACTATCACCAAGGATACTTTATACATTTCCAAAGCCTTAAGGATCCAAGAATATGGTACACGATTAAAGGCTTTACGGTAATTCAAGCTGTGCCGAGATTTCTACGTTTTTTCTTGTAATTTTCCAGGATCATTTTATTTATCTGTAGTTGATCTTTGCAACCATATGAACCGCTTCAGCATACTTTCTGTTTCAGGGAAATAATGTCGGTGTCATCGAGAAAAGAGTAAGTACAGTTCATTAGGAAAGACATGACCATTTTATATGTGTTGGACAGACATACCTATTGTTTTGGGGTCATCTATTTCACCTTTTTTGTAGGCGATATGTATTGAGCATTTTTTTAATACCACTGTTTCTTGATCTATATATATATATATATATATATATATATATATAAAGAGAGAGAGAGAGAACTTTATTCAAACTATCAATAGGCTCATGAACATATATGAAAATAGGAATTAGATTCAAACTGTAAATTTTTATGTTTTGTTTTGTTTTTTCATTTCTCTCTTCTCTCCTTTTTTTTTAATTCTGAATTTTGGACACTCTCCAGGAACTGCCAAAGAACTACTTCCGGTCGTGATCTTCTTTGTCAGTTTTTTTTTTTTTTTTTGTGGAACTACGTGTTCCCAGAGCACTTGTTTTGAAGATCTTTTGCATGGATCTTTTCCAAAGAGCAAAAATAATAAAGCTTTTAAATTTAATCTCTGCCAGTGTTTGATTTTTTCCCCCATTACAGTGTAAAAAGTGCGTTTTTGGTATTTTCAAATTCAGAATCTAATTCATCGCTGACGTAGATTCGATACATTTATTCCGAACTCAATTTATTGCCTTGATTCCTCGTTTCGCGTCATCTGCCTTTAAATTCAGTTTCGTAGCTTT